CGGGATTTTTGAGTTTTGTTGTTTTGCCGTTTTGTGAGTGTGTTGTTGTGTTGTTTTTCATTTTGAGTAGATATGTTTGTACCTTGTGGGTTGTGTTATGGGCATGGGAATTTTGGTTAAGTTTCGTTGGAGGGATTTTTGAGTTTTGTTGTTTTGCCGTTTTGTGAGTGTGTTGTTGTGTTGTTTTTCATTTTGAGTAGATATGTTTGTACCTTGTGGGTTGTGTTATGGGCATGGGAATTTTGGTTAAATTTCGTTGGGGGATTTTTGAGTTTTGTTGTTTTGCCGTTTTGTGAGTGTGTTGTTGTGTTGTTTTTCATTTTGAGTAGATATGTTTGTACCTTGTGGGTTGTGTTATGGGCATGGGAATTTTGGTTAAGTTTCGTTGGGGTTTTTTTTGAGTTTTGTTGTTTTGCCGTTTTGTGAGTGTGTTGTTGTGTTGTTTTTCATTTTGAGTAGATATGTTTGTACCTTGTGGGTTGTGTTATGGGCATGGGAATTTTGGTTAAGTTTCGTTGGTTTTTTTAGAGTTTTGTTGTTTTGCCGTTTTGTGAGTGTGTTGTTGTGTTGTTTTTCATTTTGAGTAGATATGTTTGTACCTTGTGGGTTGTGTTATGGGCATGGGAATTTTGGTTAAGTTTCGTTGGGGGTTTTTTGAGTTTTGTTTCTCCGTTGGATGCCCCTAACAAATTTATATATATAGATTCTTCCTCATGTTCAGTTATGATTGTGATGGTATTGCAATTCCATCAGCAGGGAAGTGAATGAAAGCCCTCCCGACAGATGACCAGCCTGCCTCAGCTTCAAAGACTCCACCACACTCCACAAGGGACAGAGAGTTCCACTGCTGAACAGCTGTCCCACTCAGGAAGTTTTTCCTCATGTTCACTTATTCTTATGATGGTATTGCAATTCCAGAAGCAGGGAAGTGAATGAAAGCCCTCCCGACAGATGGCCATCGAGCCTCTGCTTCAAAGCCTCCAAAGAAGGAGCCTTCATCCACCACACTTTGGGGAAAGCAGAGAGTTCCACTGCTGAACAGCTGTTTCTATTTATTTATTTACTGTCCTGATTTCGGAGTTTTTAAATACTGGTATTGCAATTCCATAAGCAGGGAAATCAAGGAAAGCCCTCCTGACAGACAGCCAGCCTGCCTCTGTTTAAAAGTTTCCAAAGAAGGAGCCTTGATCCACCACACTTTGAGGAAAGCAGAGAGTTCCACTGTTGAACAGCTCTCCCAGTCAGAAACAACTTCTTCCTCATGCTTATTTATTATGATTATGATGGTATTGCAATTCCATAAGCAGGGAAATCAATGAAAGCCCCCTTGAAAAATGGCCAAGGAGCCTCCATCCACCACACTTTGGGGGAAGCAGAGAGTTCCACTGCTGAACAGCTCTCACAATCAGGAAGATTTTCCTCATGTTTACTTATTATTATGATTAAGATGGTATTGCAATTTCATAAGCAGGGAAGTGAATGAAAGCCCTCCTGACAGATGGCCAGCCTGCCTCTGTTTAAAAGCTTCCAAAGAAGGAGCCTTCATCCACCATACTTTGGGGGAAGCAGAGAGTTCCACTGCTGAACAGCTCTCTCTCACAGTCAGGAAGTTCTTCCTTATATTGGCTTATGATTATAAGCAGGGAAGTAAATGAAAGCCCTCCGACAGATGGCCATCCAGCCTCTGCTTCAAAGCCTCACACTTTGGAGAAAGCAGAGAGTTCCACTGCTGAACATCTCTCCCAGTCAGGAACTTCTTCTTCCTCATGTTTACTTATTATGATGGTATTGCAATTCCATCAGCAGGGAAATGAATCAAGACACTCCCGACAGATGGCCAGCCTGCCTGTGCTCCCAAGAGGGGGCTTTTCCCCTGGGATACCTTGGTGAGGAAGGCCTCGGGGTCGAAGTGGGGCCCGTTGATGTCTGTGGGCCCTCCCTCCAGGCCCAGCAGGGCCGTCTGCTCGGGGCTCTGCTCCTGCTCCTCCGGCTTCTCCAGGTTCGTCTTCTCGGGGAGGCCATAGTAGAGCTTCAGCATACCGCGAGGCCTGGGCCTTCCTGCCTCCGACGCCGAGGCCTTCCCTGCCGGAGGGGCAGACATGCGGGCCCCACTCGCCCGGGTCGCGCACCGGGGGCTTCTCCCGCGGGAAGGACACCACCAGCAGCGCCAGCCCCGCACGCAGCGCCACCAGCACCAGCGACACGTCCCCCAAGTGCCGCATCCCCAGCACTTCCGCTTCCCCTGGCACTTCCGCCCGTCTCCTAGGCGACACTTCCGGGACCCAGCGCAGACACGCCCACTGCGTAGTGACGCTCCCTCTCCAGGCCACGCCCCTCCGCCTCTCCAGGCCACGCCCCCTCCCCAGCGCAGACACGCCCACTGCGTAATGACGCTCCCTCATCAGGCCACGCCCCCTTCGCCTCTCCAGGCCACGCCCCCTCTCCAGCGCAAACACGCCCACTGCGTAGTTACGCTCCCTCTTCAGGCCACGCCCCCTCCCCAGCGCAGACACGCCCACTGCGTAATGACGCTCCCTCATCAGGCCACGCCCCCTTCGCCTCTCCAGGCCACGCCCCCTCTCCAGCGCAAACACGCCCACTGCGTAGTTACGCTCCCTCTTCAGGCCACGCCCCCTCCCCAGCGCAGACACGCCCACTGCGTGCTGACGCTCCTTCTCCAGGCCACGCCCCGTTCGCCTCTCCCAAGTGGAATCATCATAATGATTCCACTTCCGCCCGTCTCCTAGGCGACACTTCCTGGCCACGCCCCCTCCCTCTCCTTAGGCCACGCCTCTCCGTCTCCGCCCCCTCGCTTTTCTCTCCAGGCCACGCCCCTTTCGCCTCTCCCAAGTGGAATCATCATAATAATGATTCCACTTCCGCCCGTCTCCTAGGCGACACTTCCGGGACCGAGCGCCGAGACGCCCACTGCGCGGTGACGCTCCCTCTCCAGGCCACGCCCCTCTCCCCAGAAGAAATGCAGACCACGCCCCCTCCCGTAAATAAATAAATCCAAGCCACGCCCTCCCTTCTCTCTCTCTCCAGGCCACGCCCTATCTCTCTCCAGGCCACGCCCCCTCCCGTAAATAAATCCAAACCACGCCCCTTCTCTCTCCAGGCCACGCCCCCAACTCTCTCTCACCTTCTCCAGGCCACGCCCATAACTCTCTCCGGGCCACGCCCCCTCCCGTAAATAAATAAACCCAAGCCACGCCCCTTCTCTCTCCAGGCCACGCCCCGAACTCTCTCTCTCCAGGCCACGCCCATAACTCTCTCCAGGCCACGCCCCCTCCCGTAAATAAATAAATCCAAGCCACGCCCATTCTCTATCCGGGCCACGCCCCCTCCCTTCTCTCTCTCCTGGCCACTCCCCCTCCCCGCTGCAGGCCCCGCCCCCTTTCCTCTCTCTCTCCAGGCCCCGCCCCTGCCTTCTCGCTCTCCAGGCCACGCCCCCTCCTATCTCCAGGCCACGCCCCCTCGCTTTTCTCTCCAGGCCACGCCCCGTTCGCATCTCCCAAGTGGAATTATGATTCCACTTCCGCCCGTCTCCTAGGAGACACTTCTGGGACCGAGCGCCGACACGCCCACAGCGCGGTGACGTTCCCTATCCAGGCCACGCCTCCCCACTAGGCCACGCCCCCTTCTCCTCTCCCAAGAGGAATCCTCCTCCTCCTCCTCCTCATCATCATCATCATCAGAAGAAGAAGAAGGCATCAGGGAAAGGCAATGAAGGAGGATTAATGGATGAAGAAGGAGAAAGACCTTTTGAGAAAGGCCAATAAGAATAATGATTCATGGGAAATAAGAGTAATAATAATCATGAATAATAATCAATAATAATAATAATTCATGAATAATTAATGGGAATGAATAATAATAATAATCATGAATAACAATAATAATAATTCATGAATAATAATTCATGGAAAATATTAATGGGAAAGAATAATAATCATGAATAATAATAATAATAATTCATGAATAATAATTCGTGGAAAATAATAATTCATGGGAAAGAATAACGGAAAATGATGATTCATGAAAAATAATTCATGGATAATAATAATTCATGAATAACAATCAATCCTTAAAACCCAATGAAGGCAAGCCGTAGGCCATAGTGTTTGTATAACAATAATAGCCATAACAATTGAATAATAATAATATATGTTAAAAGGAAGGCAAGCTGAATGCCATAGTTTGACTGTATGATAATGATGATGATAATAATAATAATTAATTACTAAGAAATAAATAAGAACCAAAGATGGCGAGCTGAATGCCATAGTTTTGGACTATATAATTATAATAACATAATAGAATAATAATAATAATAAACCAATGAAGGCAAGGTGAATGCTCTAGTTTTGGACTGTATAATACTACTGCTACTAATAATACATGAATAATAATAATGATAATAATAAGCCAATGTACTGAATGCCACAGTGTGTGACTGTACAATAATAGTAATACATGGAGACCCAATGAGGGTGGGATGAAGGCCATACATAGTGTGTGACTGTACCATAATCCTATATTCCAGAACCCGTGTGTCCTTGTGACCTCATGGGTGGTGGCATGAGGTCACCTGCGTGGGAGGAGGAGGAGGAGGAGGAGGAGGAGGAGGAGGATGATACACTGGAAGGACCCGTTCATCACCTTCACCTTCCCCAACAAGGTGATCTTCACCATTGGCTCCCTGGTGCTCTTCTCCATCCACGCCGGCATCATCATCGGGGACCTCTACCACTTCCTCATCTCCCAGAGGGGGGACCTCATGAGCTTCCGCTTCACCCTCGTCCTCCTGGTGCGCACCCACACACACACACACCCAAAGGAAGTCTCTATACATCACTAATAATAATAACAATAATAATAATAATAATAATAATAATAATAATAATAATGTCATAGACTCCCTCCCAACCAATGGCCACCCAATCTCTACATCATAATAATAATATTAATAATAATAATAATAATAATAATAATGTAATAGACTCCCTCCCAACCAATGGCCACCCAATCTCTAAATAATAATAATAATAATAATAATAATAATAATAATAATGTAATAGACTCCCTCCCAACCAATGGCCACCCAATCTCTAAATAATAATAATAATAATAATAATAATAATAATAATAATAATGTCATAGACTCCCTCCCAACCAATGGCCACCCAATCTCTAAATTATTATTATTATTATTATTTAGAGATTGGGTGGCCATTGGTTGGGAGGGAGTCTATGACTAATAATAATAATAATAATAATAATAATAATAATAATAATGTCATAGACTCCCTCCCAACCAATGGCCACCCAATCTCTAAATAATAATAATAATAATAATAATAATAGTAATAATAATGATGATGTCATAGACTCCCTCCCAACCAATGGCCACCCAATCTCTACATAATAATAATAATAATAATAATAATAATAATAATAATAATAGGGTAATACCATAGCAAGGGGCACCAAGGGCAATCAAATAATAATAACAGTAAAGATAATAATAATAATAATAATAATAATAATAATAATAGAATCATAGACTCTCTACTCAATAATAAAAGTAATAGAGTAATACCATAGCAAGGGGCATCAAGAGCAATCCAATAATCCTAATAGTAAAGATAATAATAACAGAATCATAGATTCCCAATCAACAGTCTCTAATTAATAATAACAATAATAATGATGTATTGTCGAAGGCTTTCATGGCCAGAATCCATGGGTTGTTGTAGGTTTTTCCGGGCTATATGGCCATGTTCTGGGAGAACATGGCCAGAACATGGCCATATAGCCTGGAAAAACCTACAACAACCCAATAATAATGATAATAATGATAATAATAATAATAATAATAATAATAATAATAATAATAGATTCATATTATCCTAGTTGCAAGGGAATTCAAATAACAACAACAACAACAACCGAAGTTTACAATCCTTGAGCTGGAAGGGATGCAAATGGCCATCCAATAACAACAACAACAACAACCAAAGATTCTTAGTGTTGGAAGGGACCCCAGGAACCATCAATAATAATAATAATAATAGTAATAATAATCACAGTCCTAGACACTTGGGAAGGGTCCGACGTGTGATCCAATACAACAGCCAGCAGAGTGATCTTCCCTTTTGTGGACTTATATTGTTGTGTTTCAAATAATAATAATAATAATAATAATAATAATAATAATAATAATAATCCTATTTCCACAGTTCTCCCACGTGACCAGCTTCTACTGGGCCTTGCTGGCCACCATCTACACCTTACAAGCGGAAGACAGCGTCCTCATGTTCTTTGCTTTGACCTCAATTGGTAAGGAATGAATTGAGTGCGCTGTCCCTTTAAGGCCTGCTCCCTCCCACCTCCGGGAACATCTCCATGGCAACGTCATGGCCCTCCTCCTGTCAATCACCTCCCTATACCAGGTATGGGCAAACTTTGGCTCTCCAGGTGTTTCGGACTTCAACTCCCACAAGTCCAAAGTTTGCCCATGCCTGCTCTATGCACTGCCCTCTTGTGGTTGCATCTCAGCACTGCCTATCGATGTTTGGGGGGCTTTATTCCCAAACAGGGTGGGTTTTTCAAAGCCAAAACCTCATTAGTATTTTAATTTAACTCGTTAAGAATACTCGGGACCACATTTGGTCTGGATCCATCGACCCACTGAAGGGGTTTTCGGGGAACAAATTTACATACGTATGCACTTCCATATAACAAAAAGGCCTCGCTTGGAAGGTTTTCAAGACGACTTCCTGTTTCCTGTTGTGTTGCCATTAATTGGTCTCTTCCTCCCTCCCTCCAGCCTTGAACTTTGGCCTCTTTCTGACCCGATTCTGCATGGACTACTTGACCATTGACTACCGAGAGGAGCAATACTAAGAAAGAACGAGAAATGGAAGCCGATGGGTCCGATTCGCCGAGAGGAGATTTTTAATAGAATGTCAACAAACAAGGCGATGTCCTGTTAACGGGATCCCTAAGATATCCCATAATCCCCGTCACTCGTTACAAAGGATTGTGGGAACAAACCGTTTCTGTGGACAAGGGGATGATGGGAAATCCATCCATTGCAAACTTTGCAGAGTTGGACAAAATTGTACAGGAGTCGTCTCATGAGAGCAGCCATATTGTGCAATAAAATAACCGTTATATAGCCCTCGAAAACGTTTCCGAACTACAACTCCCAGCATCCCTCACTGAATCCTTATGATGCTTTATAGGCCTGTTCAATGCATGGTTCTAAATAGTTCTGAAGTACTTACAAAACTAAAGTTCTGGTGGTGAAAATTTCCGAACTCTAACAAAACTCTCAAAATTTCATTATAAATGGCAGTTCCTAATTAGTTCTGTCATAAAAATCGTCAACCATGAAATAATAATTACATTTTGAAAGAGTTCTGAAATTTTCACCACCAGAACTTTAGAACCATGCATTGAACAGGCCTAATGCTTTAGATCGGGCCTATCTCCTCTATGATAGCAAATGGGCCACATTTAAAGTTATCAAAAGCTTTTTCGTCATCTACGAAAAAGATCCGAACAGATAGATCCGAATGCAACGCATCAAAATATCGTCTACATAAATAACCCCGAGGCTCCGTCTACACTGCTATATGTTCCAGATCGACAATGTGGAAATTTATGCGACGAATATGCATAATCGCTCTTGATGTTGACACTTTAAGACCGCAATAATCTGGTTTGAAGCGCTCCAGAGCTACTCCAGATCCAACCTGGAAACGTCCCTGAATTTTCTCAAGTCCCTTTTTGGGCACCAAAGGTAGGTCTTAAAGGGAAAGCAGGTAATCCACATTTTGTCTGAACTGGATTATATGCCTCTACACTGGATATATAGAAGTGTAGATGGGGAAGCATGGGGACTTCCTGTCCTAATGCTAGGCGTTCCTTTCTGTCTGCTGTCCCTTCCAATTAGGGTAAATAAAGGAATTAAATTAAATTAAATTGCAGAGGTCCACATTATCCTCAGTCGAGACGAGGTGCGGAAATTTGTAGAAATGCACTGAATTTCCCGCACGGAATTTCTTCCAAATGTAAATATATCCGGGAATGTTTAGCAAACGAGATGTTACAACAAATGAGGCATTTCTCCGTGGTTGAAACACCCAAAGCTTTCAAAGGGAGAATCAATGGGGCCAGAGACCTGAAACGAGGAAATAGGACCCCCCCCTCACCGAATGCCATTATGAGAAAAGGAATCCCGGAACCCACAAAAGTCTCTCAACTTTCGGATGGAACGGAACAAAGAGGAGGGCCTTCTCCTCCTTCTGGACCCACACAAAAGCCACACCAACTCAAAACGAGATCTTAAGAGGAAAAAAGTGGCTGTCAGTCAACTTTCCTCATCAGATAGAAGCGCAATAGATAGATCCCGGCGTCTGCTACTAGAGGAGATTCCCCTTTCGGTGCCGCTCAGCTCGTCTGTTTTGCATCAGGACGATGCGGGATTTTCCGGAGCTTTTCGGAAGTGTCCCAGGAGTCTTTCTCTCCCGCAAAAAAGGCCAGGGGAGGAGCCTATTTGGTCCCACAAGAAGCAGAGGAGGAGACCGAGGGAGTCCCTCACTGCTTCCCAACCCGGATGTGGGGGTTGAACAAGGGGTCCAGGTTGGGGTCGCTCTCGGCCGAGGCCCGGCCCAGCTTCATCATCACCACCACCAGCGTCAGGAAGCCAATGCCGCCGATCAGGAGCAGGATCACAAAGCGCTGCATCAGGGAGCGGGGCTGCTTCCGGGCCCCAAAGCGGTTCCTGCAAAAGGAGGAAGGGGCGGGAGGAGCGGGACAAAGAGAGTCTCTTTATTTCCGGGAAGTCTTAAAGGGAAACCACTTTCTCGAGTCCCTGTTCGGTCGCCAAAAGGAGTTCTTAAAGGGAAAGATTTGAGGTCTTAAAGGGAAAACACCCATCATTTTCTCGAGTCCCTGTTCGGTCGCCAAAAGGAATTCTTAAAGGGAAAGTTTGGGGGTCTTAAAGGAAAACACCCATAATTTTCTCGAGTCCCTGTTCAGGCGCCAAAAGGAGTTCTTAAAGGGAAAGTTTGGAGTTCTTAAAGGGAATGTTTGGAGGTCTTAAAGGAAAATACCCATAATTTTCTCGAGTCCCTGTTCAGTCACCAAAAGGAGTTCTTAAAGGGAAAGTTTGAAAGTCTTAAAGGGAAACACTCATAATTTTCTCGAGTCCCTGTTCGGTCGCCAAAAGGAGTTCTTAAAGGGAAAGTTTGGAGGTTTTAAAGGGAAACACCCATAATTTTCTCGAGTCCCTGCTCGGGTGCCAAAAGGAATTCTTAAAGGGAAAGTTTGGGGGTCTTAAAGGAAAACACCCATAATTTCCTCGAGTCCCTGTTTGGGCACCAAAAGGAATTCTTAAAGGGAAAGTTTGGAGGTCTTAAAGGGAAACACCCATAATTTTCTCAAGTCCCTGTTTGGACACCAAAAGGAGTTCTTAAAGGGAAAGATTGGAGGTCTTAAAGGAAAACACTCATAATTTTCTCGAGTTCCTGTTGGGCGCCAAAAGGAGTTCTTAAAGGGAAAGTTCAGAGGTCTTAAAGGAAAACACCCATAATTTTCTTGAGTCCCTGTTCGGGCACCAAAAGGAGTTCTTAAAGGGAAAGTTTGGAGGTCTTAAAGGGAAACACCCATATTTTTCTTGAGTCCCTGTTTGGGCGTCAAAAAGAGTTCTTAAAGGGAAAGTTTGAAAGTCTTAAAGGGAAACACTCATAATTTTCTCGAGTCCCTGTTCAGGTGTCAGGAGTTCTTAAAGGGAAAGTTTGGAGGTTTTAAAGGGAAACACCCATAATTTTCTCGAGTCCCTGTTCAGTCGCCAAAAGGAGTTCTTAAAGGGAAAGATTTGAGGTCTTAAAGGGAAATACCCATAATTTTCTCGAGTCCCTGTTCGGCCACCAAAAGGAGTTCTTAAAGGGAAAGTTTGGAGTTCTTAAAGGGAATGTTTGGAGGTCTTAAAGGAAAACACCCATAATTTTCTCAAGTCCCTGTTCGGGCACCAAAAGGAGTTCTTAAAGGGAAAGTTTGGAGGTCTTAAAGGGAAACACCCACAATTTTCTCGAGTCCCTGTTTGGACACCAAAAGGAGTTCTTAAAGGGAAAGTTTGAAAGTCTTAAAGGGAAACACTCATAATTTTCTCGAGTCCCTGTTCGGGCGTCAGAAGGAGTTCTTAAAGGGAAAGTTTGGAGGTCTTAAAGGGAAACACTCATAATTTTCTCGAGTCCCTGTTCGGGCATCAGAAGGAGTTCTTAAAAGGAAAGTTTGGAGGTCTTAAAGAGAAACACCCATAATTTTCTCGAGTCCCTGTTCGGGCACCAAAAAGAGTGCCCGAAGGGAAAGTTTGGAGGTCTTAAAGGGAAAGTTTTGAGGTCTTAAAAGGGAAACACTCATAATTTCCTTGAGTCCCTGTTTTGGTACCAAACGGAGTTCTTAAAGGGAAAGTTTGAAGGTCTTAAAGGGAGACACCCATAATTTTCTCAAGTCCCTGTTCGGGCGTCAGAAGGAATTCTTAAAGGGAAAGTTTGGGTTCCTAAGAACAGCAGAAATATGTTTTCCGATGGTCTTTGGTGATCCACTCACTTGAGCAGCTGGGCCAGCCACCCGAGGGCCGGGCGCCGGCGGTACTTGTCTTCGTCCGAATCGATGCGGATTTCGGAGGATCTGCCCATCGCACTGCCTTCCCGGGTGTCGTATACCTTCCGCGGAGAGGAGGCTGCAGGGAAGGAAGCAGGGGGTTGCCCCAGAGAAGAGCATCACCATCATCATCATCATTTAGAGAAATTGCATCTCGCTCCTCAGCTACAAAGGTGCTCAGAGCAGTTTCCAGAATGACATATAAGTGGGAGAAATCTTATATTAACATTACTACATATATCTATATCTATAAAAATGCTCTGTGCGTCATGAGTACCTTAAAAACAAAACCAATGAACGAAATCACACCAAATTTGGCAACAAAACATCTCACTACACAAGGAGTGACCATCACTCAAAGAATTATGGTTTTGTCGTTTAGGAGTTGTAGTTGCTGGGATTTATAGTTCACCTACAATCAAAGAGCATTCTGAACTCCACCAAAGATGGAATTGAACCAAACTTGGCACCCAGGACTCCCCTGACCAACAGAAAACACTGGAAGGGTTTGGTGGGCATTGATCTTGACTTTGAGAGTTGCAGTACACCTGCATCTAGAGAGCACTCTGGACTCAAACAATGATGAATCTGGGCCAAACTTGGCACAACACATATAAATATACACATACATACGCATATACAGACATATATGAATATAGACAAGCACATATATATACACAATATACATATACACATATAAACACACAAATATATACACATCTACACAAATACACACACAAACATATGTATACACACACAACATATAAATATACACATACATACACATATACAGATATATATGAATATAGACAAGCACACATATATACACAATATACACATATAAACACACAAATATATACACATCTACACAAATATATATACACACACAAACACATATATACACACACAACATATAAATATACACATACATACACATATACAGACATATATGAATATAGACAAGCACACATATATACACAATATACACATACACATATAAACACACAAATATATACACATCTACACAAATATATATACACACACAAACACATGTATACACACACAACATATAAATATACACATACATACACATATACAGACATATATGAATATAGACAAGCACACATATATACACAATATACATATACACATAAACACACAAATACACAAATATATACACATCTACATGGATATATACACACACATAAACACATATATACACACACATTCATACACATATACATATATGAATATAGACAAGCACACATATATACACAAATATCTACACAAATATATACAAGCACATAAACATATATACACACTCAGAACACATATACACAGACTGTGCCACAGCAACACGTGGCAGGGGATGGCTAGTGTATACACACACATATCCCCGAGTTACAGACATCAGACTTGGATGAGGATCATCTGCATACCTATATTAACGCTGACTGCTTAGGACAGCCAGACCCAATACTGTCTCCTTTCCCGCGCACACATCCACACACACATATCTACCTGCGTTGATGGTGACCGGATCAGCGTTGAGGTCCTTCATGCTGATGACGGTGTGCGGTTCCTGCATCAGGGCGCCATTGCTGAGGTTTTGTGGGGCTTGCGGAGGAGGAGGAGGACCGGGCGCAGGAGAGGCACTCTGGTGGGCCGCCTCCTCGGAGCTCAGGGCTGAAGGAGAAGAGCAGAGTGTTGAATGAGGGACCCCGGGGCCACTTCCCCAAAGGGGAGACACAAGAAGCCGCCCCTCAAAGTTCAAGAGGCGGCCGCCTCGATCCCACCGCCTGTTTCTCACTCCGATCGGGACTCCGATCGGGGCCCCACTCACTGGTGAAACTGGACCAGTCGGTGTAGTCCGTCGCGTTGTGAGGGTCCGCCTCTAGAACCATCTCCGTCTCGTCGATCTGAATGGAATAATAATAATAGTAATAATAATACATTTTAGTACTAATAATAGATAGATAACCACTTTGAGTCTCCTTGTAGAGAGAAAAAGCAGGGTATACATAATAATAATAATAATAATAATAATAATAATAATAATATTTTAGTGCTAATAGTAGATACATAACCACTTTGAGTCTCCTTGTGGAGAAAAAAAACACAATAATAATAATAATAATAATAATAATAATAATAATAAATTTTAGTACTAATAATAGATACATAGCTGCTATGAGTCTCATTGTGGAGAGAACAGCGGGAAATAAAAAAAATAATGATATTTATTTGTTTTATTTATCGTGTCGTCCGTGAGTCTCCTTGTGGAGAGAAAAACACAACAAATAATAATAATAATAATAATAATACATTTTAGTAGTAATAATAGATACATAACCTCCTTGAGTCTCCTTGTGGAGAGAGAAAAACACAATAATAATAATAATAATAATAATAATAATACATTTTAGTAGTAATAATAGATACATAACCTCCTTGAGTCTCCTTGTGGAGAGAGAAAAACACAATAATAATAATAATAATAATAATAATAATAATAATAATAATAATACATTTTAGTAGTAATAATAGATACATAACCTCCTTGAGTCTCCTTGTGGAGAGAGAAAAACACAATAATAATAATAATAATAATAATAATAATAATACATTTTAGTAGTAATAATAGATACATAACCTCCTTGAGTCTCCTTGTGGAGAGAGAAAAACACAATAATAATAATAATAATAATAATAATAATAATAATAATAATACATTTTAGTAGTAATAATAGATACATAACCTCCTTGAGTCTCCTTGTGAAGAAAAACACAATAATAATAATAATAATAATAATAATAATAATAATAATAATAATAATAATACATTTTAGTAGTAATAATAGATACATAACCTCCTTGAGTCTCCTTGTGGAGAAAAACACAATAATAATAATAATAATAATAATAATACATTCTAATACTAATAATCGATACATAGCTGTTTTGAATCTCATTTTGGAAAGTGGGGTATGCATATAATAATAATCATCATCATCATCCAGCATAGTGATCTTGTTTGCTGTGTATTAATGTTGTTGTGTTTCAAATAATAATAATAATAATAATAATAATTTCTAATACTAATAATAGATACATAACCACTTTGAGTCTCGTTGTGGAAAGTGGGGTATGCATATAATAATAATCATCATCACCAACGTCCAGCATAGTGATCTTGTTTGCTGTGTTTCAAATAATAATAATAAAATAATAAATTCTAATACTAATAATACATACATAGCTGCTTAGAATCTCCTTGTGGAGGAAAAAGTGGGGGAGTAGTAGTAATAATAATAATAATAATAATAATAATAATACATTATAATACTAATAACAGGTGCACAAACACTTGAGTCTCCTTGTGGAGAGAAAAAGTAGGATATAATAATAATAATAATAATAATAATAATAATAATAATAGTAATAGGTGCATAAACACTTTTGAGTCTCCTTGTGGAGAGAAAAGCGGAGTATACATAAACATAATAATAATTATAATGCATTTGAATACTAATAATAAATACATAAATACACGTAATAATACATTCTAATATGACTAATTGATACATAGCTGCTTTGAGTCTCCTTGTGAAGAGGATATAAATAATAATAATAATAATAATAATGCATAAACACTTTGGAGTCTCCTTGTGGAGAGAAAAGCGGGGTATAAATAAACATAATAATAATAATAATAATAATAATAATAATAATAATGTATTCTACTACTTGTAATAAATACATAAGTAAACATAATAATAATAATAATAATAATAATAATAATAATAATAATAATAGGTGCATGAACACTTTTGAGTCTCCTTGTGGAGAGAAAAGCGGAGTATACATAAACATAATAATGATGATGATAATTCATTCTAATTCTAGTAATAAATACATAAATAAACATAATAATAATAAACATAATAATAATAGGTGCATAAACACTTTTGAATCTCCTTGTGGAGAGAAAAGCGGAGTATACCTAAACACAATAATAATAATAATAATAATAATAATAATAATAATAATAAATTCTAATACTAGTAATGAATACATAAATAAACATAATAATAATAATAAGTGCATAAACATTTTGAGTCTCCTTGTGGAGAGAAAAACAGAGTATACATATATACATATACATATACATATATACATATACATATACAGAGTATACATATGTGTTATGTTTTACTGTATTGTGTTTGAGGCTTCGGCCTGTGTAAGCCGCATCGAGTCCTTCGGGAGATGCTAGCGGGGTACAAATAAAGTTAATAATAATAATAATAATAATAATACATAATAATAATAATAATAATAATAATAATAATAATAATAATAATAATGCATTCTAATACTGGTAATGAATACTTAAACAATCATAATAATAGATATTGATAGTGCTAGTCCTGCTCTCACCAGGGGGAGTCCCAGGCCGGGGCGGGCCCAGTTGACGGAGGCCAGCTTGTGGGTCAGGGCTGCGGCCACGGGGCTGACCAGGTTGGCGGGCGGGAAGAGGGGCCCCTGGCAACCGGGGCACTGGAAGCCGGCCGGGGCCGTGTTCTTCGGCAGGTGGGCCACCATCTCGTTCAGGCACGACCAGTGGAAGAGGTCTGCAGGAGGGAGAGGAAGAAGAGGGACCCCCGTGAGGAAAGAGCCAAAGGACATGGACCCACGGAAAGGCGGTCTGAAAGGGACTCAGAGCGGATTACAAGGAAAAAGTATATACAATACATTATATTATAAGCACAGTGCAGGAGACAAGATGGCACTGCCTTCCTGGCCCCTCTCTTTGGTGCTGGGGGGGGGGGGGAGGGTCCCATCCAATGACACCTGGACCTTTGGGGTGACCCCCCCCCCCTTGGACCAAGCACAGTGGCAGGAAACGCAAGAGCTGACCATAGCAGACGAGGCGGACGGTCTCTTTGGTGGAGAGAAGGGTGTTGCAGAGCCGACAGTTGGGGTTGTAGTCACTATCCTGGAGCCACTGCAAGTAAGACTGGACAATGCACTGCAAAGCAAGGGAGGGAGGAAAAAGCAAAACACAAACATCATTATTATTATTATTATTATTATTATTATTATTATTATCATAATATAATCATAAGCCTCTATTATTAGAGGCATTCCCCTTGGAGTGCTCAGCAACAACAACAACAACAACTTTACCTTGTTGTGATTGGCGACAATGCAGTGCTCGCAGACGTTGACGCGGTGCTCGAAGCAGAAGAGGTTGGTCACCTTCCGCTTGGGGCATTTGCACAGCCCCATGGCAGAGCCTGCAGCAGGAGGCAGAAAAAAGGAATCAAATATATATCTATATATATAAAATCCAAAAGGGCGTCGTTAGGGGCCGCAAAACGCGAAAACCCCCGGATGAAAAATCGCCAAACTTGGCGTACGCATACCTCAAACCACAAGGTATACAGAACACTCATCACAACTCAAAAAGACATAACAACAAACACACAATTACACAACCAAAGGGAGCATGCGCAGGGGAGTCCCGGCGCGCGCACATGGCCGCCCCACGCCCCTCCGCGCAAGCCACGCCCCCTCCCATCGCCGCCCCGCCCCTTCCCCCATGCCAAACCGATAATAATATTTGCAATTTATATAATAATATTTTAGCTATTGAGCCACGAGGAGTAATCGCTGTAATTATTCTTATAATAATAATAATAATAGTGTGTGTGTGTCTAAGCCAAAGGTCATGTGGCCACTAATGTGACTGTTTGGAGTGCCGTTACCTTCCCACCAGAGCGGAACCTATTGTTCTACTCACATTTGCAGGTTTTCAAACTGCTAGGTTGGCAGAAGCTGGGGCTAATAGCAGGAACTCAGCCCACTCCCCAGATTTGAACCACTGACCTTTTGGTCAGCAAGTTCAGAAGATCAGCACTTTAACCCACTGCGCCAGTGGGGCTCCATTATATAAGTATAAATTATTTTTACATTATTACCATTAATAATTATGTATAATATATACATAATTATTCCTACTATTACTCTTAGATTATTACCACACTTATATTATTATATTATATTACTATAATAATATATCATATTTATAATTATATATTATTAGTATTACTCTTAGATTACTATCACACTTATATTATTATATTATCTTATATTATAATTATATATATTATATTATAATTATATATATTATTCTTCCTATTACTCCTATTTTATAATCATATTATTATATTCTATAACTATAATAATTATTAATACTTATAATTTTATATTTCATTTTCAATTATATATTATTCTTCCTACTATTACTATTATCACTTATATTATTCACACATATTATATTACTATAATAGTAATTATTACTAATATCATGATTATATTACAATTATATATTATTATCCCTATTATTACTCATATATTATTATCACTTACATTATTGTATTATATTACTAAAATATTATTATAATATTATTATAATCATTAATAAAAACATCATAATTATATGATATATATTATATGATAATAATTATATTACAATTATATTATATATTGTAATGTAGAATAATGTAGAATAATTACACAACAATGTAGAATTGCAATATAGTTATGATATTAATAATAACAATTATGATTATTTTAGTAATATAAAACAATATAAGTGATAATAATTATTATAATTGTAATAATAAGTAATGTTACATATTATATATTATTATTACATTATTAATATTATATATATTATTATTATTGCTAGTATTACTCTTATATTATTATCACACTTATATTATAATAAGTTTCTGTAATAATAATAATAATAGTATAGTATAATATATAATACTTTAATTGTATATGTATAATATTAGTAACATCAATAATATATACATAAATAGAATATGGTTATTTATCGTGTCATCAGCAACCATTGTATTACAATTCTAACAGAGCAAAACAAACACAGAGATTAAAAAGAAAAAAAGAAGGAAAAAAAGAAAGAAAGAAAAAAAACCACACAGATTTTGTAAATTTGGTATTTGGTTAAATGTCCTTGGAGCAGTCTCTGGCCCCTTGGAGTGCCTCTGGGGTTGCCGCAAGAAGGTCCTCCCTGGTGCATGTGGCAGGGCTCAGGGTGCATTGCAGCAGGTGGTCAGTGGTTTGTTCTTCTCCGCACTCGCATGCCGAGGATTCCACCCTGTAGCCCCATTTCTTAAGATTGGCTCTGCATCTCGTGGTGCCAGAGCGCAATCTGTTCAGTGCCTTCCAAGTCGCCCAGTCTTCTGTGTGCCCAGGGGGGAGTCTCTCATCTGGTATCACCCATGAATTAAGGTGCTGGGTTTGGGCCTGCCACTTTTGGACTCTTGCTTGCTGGGGTGTTCCAGCGAGTGTCTCTGTAGATCTAAGAAAACTATTTCTTGATTTAAGTCTTTGGCGTGCTGGCTGATACCCAAACAAGGGATGAGCTGGAGATGTCTCTGCCTTGGTCCTTTCACTATTGGCTGCTCCTTCCCGGCGGATGTCAGGTGGTGCAATACCGGCTAAGAAGTGTAATGTCTCCAGTGGTGTGAGGCATAAACATCCTGTGTCTCATTAAGAGCCACATCCACTGTTTTAGCGTGGTGAGATGTGTTCCACACTGGGCATGCGTACTCAGCAGCAGAGTAGCACAGCGCAAGGGCAGATGTCTTCACTGTGTCTGGTTGTGATCCCCAGGTTGTGCCAGTCAGCTTTCATATGATATTGTTTCTAGCGCCCACTTTTTGCTTGATGTTCAGGCAGTGCTTCTTGTAAGTCAGAGCACGGTCCAGAGTGACTCCTCCCAGGTATTTGGGTGCGCTGCAATGCTCCAGTGGGATTCCTTCCCAGGTCATTATCCTCAGAGCTTGGGATGCTTGTCTGTTCTTAAGGTGAAAGGCACATGTCTGTGTTTTAGATGGGTTAGGGATCAGCTGGTTTTCCCTGTAATAGGCAGTAAGAGCACCTAGAGCTTCGGAGAGCTTCTGTTCTACCATCTCAAAGCTCCCTTCTTGAGCGGTGATGGCTTGATCATCAGCATAGATGAAACTCTCTGTCCCTTCTGGCAGTGGCTGGTCATTTGTGTAGATGTGGAACATGGATGGAGCAAGCACGCTCCCCTGAGGCAGGCCGTTCTTCTGTTTCCGCCACCTGCTTCTCTGGCCCTGGAACTCAACAAAGAAGCTCCTGTTCTGTAGCAGGTTTCCTGTGAGGCGGGTGAGGTGGTCGTCCTTGGTGATATAAGTTATATCTTTGATCCAGAAGCAACCAGAGATATAACTTATATTTCGTGTTAACAGTCGAGCCACAAGGTAGAATAATAATAGAGTAATATAATAACATATAATACAATTATATATGTATAATATTAGTAACAATAGTAATATATATACACACATAGGAAATAGTGATAATAACTGAATAATTATAGTAATTAGAAACAACAGTAATAGACATGTTTACAATATATTATGGGTAATAGCAATAATAATATAATAATATAAAAACAATACTCTGTTATGAGCTATGCTGTGACTCCCAGGATTCCACATTTGAAGCGGTATCAACCCGCATTACCTCCGAGGGGCGTCTGACTCGCCCAGGCCTGCCCCTCCTCACCTTCCTCTTGGGCCTCCTTCCGCCTTCTGCCACGTCTCTTCCGGGAAAGTCGCGCGACGATGGCGTCACGGCCCAGCCGTCGCTTCAAGAGAAAAGGAAACCAAGAGAGGTCAAGTCTCGCGAGATGTCTGGACCTCCCGCGGGGTTTAGTTTGCCTGTCCTAAAATGGCGCCGGGTGGTTTGTGTATTAGGGAAAAGAGAAGAGACATCCAACTCTCGCGGGACGTTGAGACTTCTCGCGGGATTTGGTTTGCCTCTCCTAAAATGGCGCCGGGTGGTTTGTGTATTAGTAGCTGAATGGGAAAAGAGAAGCGACAACCATGTCTCGCGGGATTTTGAGACATCTCGCGGGATTTATTTTGCCTCTCCTAAAATGGCGACGGGTGTTTTTTGTATTAAAGAGAAGTGACATCCAACTCTCGCGGGATGTTGTCCCTTCGCGGGATTTAGTTTGCCTCTCCTAAAATGGCGCTGGGAAGTTTTTGTAATTGAATGGGAAAAGAGAAGACATCCAACTCTCGCGAGATGTTGAGACTTCTCGCGGGATTTGGTTTGCCACTCCTAAAATGGCGCCGGGTGCTTTTTGTATTAGTAGCTGAATGGGAAAAGAGAAGCGACATCCAACCCTCGCGGGATGTTGAGACGTCTCGCGGGAATTGGTTTGCCTCTCCTAAAATGGCGTCGGGTGTTTTTTGTATTAAAAGAGAAGCGACGACCAACTCTCGCGGGATGTTGAGCCTTCTCGCGTGATTTAGTTTGCCTCTCCTAAAATGGCGTCGGGTGTTTTTGTATTAAAAGAGAAGCGACGACCAACTCTCGCGGGATATTGAGACATCTCGCGGGATTTGGTTTGCCTCTCCTAAAATGGCGCCGGCTCTTACTATTGTTTTCCTTCTCCTCTTCCTTTGTGGTGACGTCACTTCCTGCGTGGAGGTGGCGGGCGATTTCAAAGCCGGAAGAGAGAAGGAAGCAAGGAAGGAAAACAGGCGGCGATGGCTGGAGGAGGCCGTGGCCTGCCAAGGCGGGCTCGCTCCGCAGGAGAGGCCCGGGCAGGTAGGCCGCAAGCCTGGGAAACAGTATTATCCACTTGGGCCTTGTCTCCAGGGGTTTTGGACTACAAATCCCACAATTCCTCACAGACTCAGGCCCTGAAAGGCCCTGTAGTCCAAAACCCCTGGAGACAAGGCCCAAGTGGATCCATGGCTACTCCAACAGCACTCCGTCCTGACATTTCTCCCACATCTCAGAAGGTTGTGGTTGTTGGCCCCCCTGATGAGCACTGAATGGCCTTGCAGCTTCAAAGCCTGGCTGCTTCCTGCCTGAGGGACATCCTATATATATTTATACCCATGGAATGATGTCCGGGGTGGGAGAAAGAACTCTTGTCTGCTGGAGGCAAGTCTGAATGTTGTCATTGGCCAGCTTGATGAGCACCGAATGGACTTGCAGCTTCAAAGCCTGGCTGCTTCCTGCCTTGGAGGGTTGGGGGGGGGAATCCCATTTTCCTGCTGTCTAGTCATGTTCCTTCCCTCCCATTTAACTCCTCTTTCTTTTTGTTTCAGGCATCGTTTCCTCTCCTCCGAGGCGAAGGTCCGAGCGCACGGCGGCTGCTTCCACAGCGGCTCCGTCTTCATCCGAAAAGAAGGCATGTTTGCGGCCCGGCGGGGCGGATGTCGGTTCGGTGCGTGATGTAAATATTCTTGGAGGCTCCTTCTTTGAAACAGAGGCTGGATGGCCATCTGTCGGGCCATCTGGACGCAATTTTCCTGCTTCTTGGCAGAATGCGGTTGAACTGGAAGATGGCCCACCAGGTCTCTTCCAACTCTAGGAGTCTCAGATTCATCAAGTTGGAAGGGAAACCCAAGGGCCATCCAGTCCAGCCTTCTAAGACATATATACATAGATAGAGATGGATACATAGATACATAGATAGGATCCTAGAGTTGGGAGGGGCCCCCAGAGGCCATCCAGTCCAGCCTTCTAAGACATATATACATAGATTGATTGACTGATTGATTTCTAGAGTGGGATATAGGTACATAGATAGATACATAGATAGATACATAGGTAGACAGATAGATAGATAGAGATACATAGATAGATAGATACATAGATAGAAACATTGATTGATTGATTGATTGATTTCTAGAGTGGGATATAGGTACATAGATAGATAGATAGATAGATAGATAGATAGAGATACATAGATAGGATCCTAGAGTTGGGAGGGGCCCCCAGAGGCCATCCAGTCCAGCCTTCTAAGACATATATACATAGATTGATTGACTGATTGATTTCTAGAGTGGGATATAGGTACATAGATAGATAGATAGATAGATAGATAGATAGATAGATAGAGATACATAGATAGATAGATACATAGATAGAAACATTGATTGATTGATTGATTTCTAGAGTGGGATATAGGTACATAGATAGATACATAGGTAGATACATAGGTAGACAGATAGAAACATTGATTGAGTGGGATATAGGTACATAGATAGATAGACAGATAGAGATACATAGATAGACAGATAGAAACATTGATTGATTGATTGATTGATTCCTAGAGTGGGATATAGGTACATAGATAGATAGATAGATAGATAGATAGATATACATAGATAGATAGAGATAGATAGATACATACATACATACATAGGTAGACAGATAGAAACATTGATTGATTGATTGATTCCTAGAGTGGGATATAGGTACATAGATAGATAGATAGATAGAGATAGATAGATAGATAGATAGAAACATTGATTGATTGATTTCTAGAGTGGGATATAGGTACATAGATAGATAGATAGATAGATAGATAGATAGATAGATAGATAGATAGAGATACATAGATAGGATCCTAGAGTTGGGAGGGGCCCCCAGAGGCCATCCAGTCCAGCCTTCTAAGACATATATACATAGATTGATTGACTGATTGATTTCTAGAGTGGGATATAGGTACATAGATAGATAGATAGATAGATAGATAGA